TTCCTAGAGTCGCCACTGGTCCTGACATTAAAGTGCATTTAGGGGCCTCTTACCCACTTTTTTTTTTTCTTTCACAGAACAAAACTGGCATTAATGTCAAACGTTGGCCTTTTGCCCAAGTCTCAGCCTGTTGCTAGCACAACCCCATCATACTCCCCCCAACCTCTCACTACTACACTTAACTGCTTGTGGATTGGCCACTGTAATAAAATGGCCAGTTGGTTGGTGCATTGTTCTGGGAGGATGTACTAGTATGTCCTCCCTCCACCGTATGTGTGCACGCGGCTTTACATTTATAGCTGATCGGACTGCCTCTGTGTCCTATGATTTATCACAGCAATCACATGGCAATGTTTACATAGCCAAACCCACCCCTTCCTCTTACATCAATGGCAGGGAAGAGTAAAAGGGAGTCATGAATGGATGAGTCATCTATTCATGACTCACTACTGTAGTAGCAGTACAGTAGCAGCAAAAAATAAAATAGTTTCATATCATTTTTAACCTCCCCTCCTCTTTGCTTATGATAGATCTATAGAATCTGTCTATATACTCTGACCTGTATATTAACCCTTTTACCACCCTCATCCTGCACAGCTATACATTAACCCCTTCATCTCCATCCTCCCACTGCATGTGACCTGTACATTAAATCCTTCACACCTTTTATTCTTGCATATTGTTCACTATTACCAAGCTCCATGTTTTAACCCCCTCATTTTCCACACACAAAAAAAAAAAAAAAAAATCGCATTAAAAAAAAGTCAGATCACCTTGCAGTGTCTACTTTCCAAAAAGGTGTCATTGGCAGATTTTCATACTATCCTGACATTTTTATTTGTTATGATTTATAAACAAAGAAAAAACAGGCTTTTTTCAATATCTTTTTTACTTTTAGGACTCTGCACTACAATGGACTCAGGGGAAGAGATCACAGCAGGAGGAGATACACAGGCAAGGATGGTTTCCTGCCTGTGAAGTGACAAGCTGGAGACTGCTACTAGAGGAGAATGGATGGCAGTCTCTCTACCGGCAGTGCTGCTGCTCATTTTTATATATTATAGTATATTATGAATATATATAGTATAGTGAGGCACGGACTGGCAGGATCGCGCATGGTATATATATACTGTAGGTAAACTAGCTTTCTCAAGTGCCATCATATACACTACCTATAAAACCCTTTAAAACAAAACACAAATATAAAATAAATACCTATACACAGTAAAATGCCAAATCTATACACAGTATATACAAATAAACACAACACTCATTAAAGTGGCAAATAAACACATCAAGTGCAAAAGGGCCACATTATATATATATATATAAATAATGTGCAGTATTACATAAAATAAAGTGCCACAAAAATTTATATATTAAAGTGCTGCTAAAGGCCACAAAGATACAAAATCCTTATAGTGTAGAAACACTTCTCCCCTTGTGCAAAAAAATACATCAGTTCCAATTATCTTCACTGTGCAATCAGTTTATAACACACTTACTAGTCATATTACACACAATAAAAACAAGCTAGTAAGAAGGAAAAAAAAAGGTTTCAGAAGGTTAAAAACACATTTTCCATTTATTAGATCAGTTTAAAAGCCTTCTTCTCCTCAAGAATCCATAGGTATAAAATGGATACCACAATTAGCAAAAACATCAATGACAAATCACTGCATGGCAAAAAAAACACACCAAAACACAACTATAGGTTTTAATATTTAATGGGTATGTTTCTTGTAAAACAGGGTAATTCACATTTTACTAATTATTGTACATATTTCATATAATTTTGGTAAAAAAGAAAATTATGTATAAAAAAAAAAAAAAAA